CAGGACATGGTCGTCAATTGTCCATCATAAGATACGTTTAAATTATATCCACAGGTAGGGTTCTCAAAAGTATTGATACTAAAACGTTGTATCCGGATACGATACTCATTTTCAAAAGTATCGATACCACCCCCCACCCCCATTTACGTTGTTTTCTCTCTGATTTATTTATGTATTTATTTACGTTGTTTATGATCATTAACGTGACGTTAGCCTTGAATTGCTAGCTGCGGCTAATGGCTAAAAACAACACCCCAACATTAATCAAGTCTGCAGGAAGCCGAGGATGGATATCCAACTCCCCCACATCCAAGTCGGCCATTTTGATTAGGTCACCAACAGGAAGATCCCAGGCAAGAAAATCCTAATTGCTTCATGGCGATATAGACATTAATTTAAAAATAGTGAAATGAATCTTACAAACACTGAATTAAACTCTATCCATAATATTATGTTAAAATAGTGGATGTTAAATAGGTTTGTACAATACGTCCAAACAAGTTTAACCAAAAAATATTTATTTCTCACAATTATGAAGAGTGGAGGGTTAGGGTTAGGTTTAGGGTTAGGGTTATTAATGTGGGCCACCATAACATCAGTAACAGGTCAGTTTGAAACCAAAGACAGTAACCTGTCAAAATTCAGTTAAATTTGGGGTTCTTTGTTTTTATCCTTGTGGTATCGAGTATCGAATATTTTCTTGAGTATCGGTATCGATTTGAACATTTTCCTCATGAAACGTTTGGCAGATGGACTTATAGGATTCTATTTACACATGTACTGGGAATGAAAGGATGTGAGGTTTTTGGGGGGTGAGGTTTGCTCTACTTTATCTAACGTGCTGGAGGTGGATGTACCATGTTCTCCCGTTGTGTTACTCCTGAATGATACCACCTCATTAAAATCAACATGCTGGAAAATAAGTATTCTCCTAACCAGCATAAAGATGTCGGCTTTAGGCTGGAAACCTCCACATACAGTCACCAAGCCCCAATGGATTAACACACACACTGACTTAATAAAATCCCTTTAAAGCCCGATCCAAGAAAAATAGGAAGAATATTGGATTTTTTTAGTCTGAAGTCTTTCTTTGGCCCCTCAACAACATATGAAGAAAAAAAACTGTAATTATTTTATCAAATTAGCGTTCAATAAGTCAGAAATGTATTTTGGTGTAGTCTTCTACTGGCTGTTATCAGGTATATCTGAATGTGTACAACAGGGGTTTGAGCAAGCTTTTACCACTGAATGATGCAAAAAGTCTCAGATCCAAAAGACTTCAGAAACCGTATGAATCAAATTTGACACATTTGGCATTACAGGGTTAAAATAACGCAAAAGTGGGTGAGTGAGGGGCCCGGAGGCGGTGGGGGCCGCTCTGTTTTGCGAGTAGTAAACACGTTTTGTTTACTAGTAAACATGTTTCGTTTATCCAAGGCAGTGGATCAGCCAGTTCCCGGCGGTGTTCGAGGCGGACCCCCTCCTGGAGCAGACCATGGGGGACCTGTGTGCTCTGGTCCGCCTGGACGGAGGGAAAACTCACTCCCAGCTCATCGACACCTCCGGCCTGTGAGCAATCCCGCCTTTTCTCACACAAAACACAACACAAAAACAGGTTTAGCCAAAAATAGAGCGGCCTCCGTTGTGTTTACGCTCCGTTATTATCTCCTTTCTTGGCTCTCTTTTCCCAGAAGCCCCCATGAGAACGTGTCCCAGGCACCTTCACCCTCCGTGAAGAAGAGGAAGGTGTCTCTGATCTTCGACCACATGGAGCCCAACGAGATGGCCGCGCACCTCAGCTACCTGGAGTTTAAGAATTTCTGCAATGTCTCGGTAGGTTCGGCTATTTGAAGTGTTTTAGGATAATCGGATAAATGCAGCAGCTCTCTCTCAGCCTGGAGAAAATCCAGAACTAACACAGTTTAGACTTTAAAAAAATCCAACCACCAAGTCCAAAAGTATCCTGATCAGCACTTTTCCCCAGAAAATAAGACGGATTAAATGCGTCATATAGTCAGTCACAGAGCATTAGTGAGCACAGAAATATGAGAAAAATGCAGATATACCAACAGAAAAACAGAACATTCAGCTGTTTACTACAAAGGGAGAAACTTCGGAGGGATGTTAACAGGCCTCGTCTTCCCCAAACTGAGAACTCATGCGAGTGGGTGACTTTGTTTTAAGGTAATTTGTTTGCTCCCTTTACAAAAAGGCCCACGGAGGCTTCCTCTAAACTGTGTAGGCAAACAGCAAAGCAGCAAATTAGTCCAACGTATCGATGCTTTTCAGAGCATTCGGCTGTAAAACAATGGGCGTTTGAGGTGGACTGACTTTTGTGCGTCAGAAATAAGAACACAAGGCAGGACTTTAGAAAAATAATAGATTAATTACAAAATTAATTGATTAATAAACAAAAACTTGAATTAAACAAAAGCGCACTCGGTGGGAGTTGAACAGTTAAGTACAAAATAATAATCACTCTAACGCGGCAGAACTAAACTATAGACAAAGTACAAAATAAACTCACTCTGACAAAGGAAACGCAAAGAAGGGTTCAAGAGACGAGGGAAGGGACCCCAGGTGAACAGGATCAGGAATCAGGGAAGATAATCAGAAATGTGACACACAGGGGAGTGCCAGAGACCTGAAAAAAGGGGATGTACCTTTCAAAATAAAACAGGAAATGACAAGACAACCATGGAGACAGGACTAAACACCCAAAAAATGTGAGCCTGTTATCCTCCTGTGAGCCCAGCTTCCATCTGGTGTTCAATAGTTAGATAACCAGACTCTGTCATGGGAGTTTTTCCTCATATAGACACAGTCAGCTTTGTGTTTAATTTGATTCTGACGGTCATAACAAGTTCATTATAAAATCTAAATGACCCAGTAAAGAAACATAAAACCACCAGTCTGAGGAGGATAAGGATAATAAAGGCTGTTTTGGACAATAAAAGGAACAATATGGAGGGAGGCCTCAGCCTGAGTTCAGATTTCTGTGTGACGGTTTTATGGTCGAGTGGGCCGACTCTTTAATATTTCTTTCTAAAAGAAAGATAAACGTGCCCATGAATACCAGCTGGTCCTCAGTCAGGACACCCAGGACGCTGAGAACTCCTTAGAGCCCCAGCCCCCCAAAATGCACCCAAACACCCCCAAAGTGCACCTTAACCTCCAAAAGTGCACCTCAACCCCCCCCAAATGCACTTAAAACCCCCACAAAAGGGCACCTAAAGCCCCAAAAGTGCACCTTAACCACCAAAAGT